TCAAAGCGCAGTGACAGAATCCGACGAATCGATAGTGAGCGAGGAGAACATAAACCGATGGGGAAGTGGCAGAGGTCTACGCAACCAGCAAGACGGTATCGCTGTACAGCGAAAAAATGGAATGGGAAATGGGAAGATCGGAGGTTTGAGCCCGAGTAGGTGGAGCCAGACAACGTAGCAAGCCTCTGGCGCACCTATCAAGCACTTTCTAGCTGCCAAAGCGGTACACTTTCTGCAATGGCAGGTCTTCTAACTTCTATAAAGGATTCTACACATTAGGAAATCGCGGAATGTGTTTCTAAACATACATATTCGTAAGGTCGAGACTCGGATACTCTAAAATGTTCATTGAAACACATCTAGTATTGAGCTCAGAGCACGTTTTGGCGTTCGGTAACATCTTACGAATGAACATCCTTACCCCTGCGTAAGAGACCTCCAACCTATGACGTGCCCAGATTGGCAAGAATCAAAGACTTATAACCGAAACCCCAAAAAACGAACCTCAAACACCAAAATGTTCTTGTAACATGCTATAACAGTCGAGTGACCTTCCGAAGCCATACCTTGTGGCTGTGATGGCAAATTCACACTTGATGACTGTATGGAATCTAAGTTAGGTAAGATCACGCACCGATCAAATATCCACTAGCGAAAAGCTTACCAGGACTGCCCATGACTCCGCGAGTAAAACGGACTGTATCGTCCCATGCACAGCTGATCACGACTTCATCTTTTCCAGTAGTCAACCCCACCACCTGAAGTGATATTATACGGCTACGGTTGACCATCAGATACTCACGCTGTGACATGTACCTGAGATTTGTGAAGAGCTGGTTGGACTCGAATCGACTCGCCATTTGAAATATTCCAACGAGCTAAAGAAACATTCAAGCAGTTTAGTACCAACGGTCGAAAGGAAGCATGAAATGGCAAGAACACTCACATATATGCCCCTCAAAATCGGCTGTAATCAGCCATTGTTTGCAAGAAGAAAGCGCTAGTGTTGTTATTCCCTTATTGTGACCATGAACTACCTAAAATAAGATATTCCGCTCAATTGCATCACAGAATAACAATAGGAAAGGAGTTTGTTTACCCTAGTTATATTTCCTTCAGGATCGATAAAGTTAAGGAATCCTGCAAGTGAAACTGATACGAGAGCCTTTGGGCTCCATGAGATTCCAATCTGTTGGTCCTCAGTGGAGTCGCCGAAGGTTACCACTCTAAATGTTTCAAGTATTTTTAGCAAAAGGCATAAGCCTAACAAGGCAATGAGTGGGAACCTAACTTACTTTGTGAGAGATTTCTCCGGAACATTCCAGATTTTTACCGTTTTGTCCCCGGATGCTGTGGCAATCTTCTGACCGCAAGGTGACCAAGCCAGTCCGAATACGCTTCCAGCGTGGGCAGCACCTCCCTGCATTAATTTTTTTCAAATGAGTGGAACCTCACTACAAAAACGTTCTATGGAATGTAGCCTCACCTTACGAACACTCACTAATTCCCGGTTTTTGTACATCTGTTCCTTCGAACAGAACTACTGAAAAGTAACTTTTCGAGACTGTGATTCGTCCAATCACGAAATATCTTACCTTTCCATCAGCACCAGCACTTGCGAAGAGAGAGCCGTCCGGACTGTACCGTGTAACATGAACAAATCGAGAATGTTCATGGAATGTCTAAATATAAGAAATGTATTCAGAGACACAACTGCGAACAAAGAGTACTGAATAATACCGTCTTAAACTTGAACGGTGGTCCTTCAAAGATCGCAACAGTGTTGTCCTCCGACCCGCTTACAAGACGGTAAGGTCTCTGAAAAAGTGAAGCTACAGTAAGTGGAGCAGGTATAGGCAACAGAGGCCATTTACCCATATTTTCGGGGAAACGACCTCACCGCAAAAGTATGGGACACTCACTAACGTACATATCCCAGGAAACATGCATCTATACTGTAGAACTCTATACCCTATGGAGGTGAACGAACAGGCCTTATTTTCGTCCAAACCCGTCCATAGCATGGACTCGCCTCCGTACGCTCGTTTTGCCTATGATAGTATATCGCTTCTAGTACAGTAATGATCCTTGCAAACGGTATGGCGTGTAACGAGGCGCGCATTGCGCAGCTCCTTTTCCACCACGATACCACCCTGAGACCGACAGAGCAGATGAGAAAACTGATCTGTCTGCGCTCCAAGCTATGCTTCCACCCCCCCACAAGCTTTATCGTTTGATCATGACTGCACCTGTTTTGCATTTTACGAGACACTATCAGGTAATCGGAGACTGTTCAACACCAAATCAAATCGAAACAGAACTCACTGCGGGGCGAAAATCAATACTGCTCATTGGCCTGGACTGGCCGGAAAGGTTACCATTTGATGTGCCCGTGTCGAACAAAAATACATGACCAAATCTAAATCACATACAATTACATGAAAGGATGTAAATAACTGTATGAAAAAGATCAAATAAACCTAGTATACCCAGGGATACCTGAAAAGCTCACCTTTCACGTCCTTCTCCAACAGCAGCTATCCGTTTGCTGTCATCGTTCCATGCGATATCGCGAACGCTTCCAGAAAACACCTAAGATTCGACCAATTTCTGAAGATCCGGATTGATTCCATTAAAAGAAGGGCATATTATTCAAACCTGATAAGTTGCTTTCAAAATGTGAGTGATCTGAGTTGTATCCCATATACGCACATTTCCAGCGCTATCTCCGGATGCTATGTAGAAACTGAAATAGTTCAATAGAGTTCAGCGGTGCGTGTGAGCTTTTCTAAAATTCAAATGAATCTCACAGGGCTCCAGCCTCCTCGTGCTCAACCTATCAATTTTCAATTGGAGCCCTTTCCAAGCTGCCCCTTTTCTGCTGTAAAGGAAAAGTGACAATTCTATTCTAGCAAGGCACCATATGGGGGATGGCTTTTTCTGGTTATCGGAGCTAAGCAAAGCCCATGATAATACTCTGCCCACTATGCGATTCAGTCGCGCCAGCGCAACTGAAGGTGCTCTACCGCTGGACATTGAACAACTTCAAAGTCTGAGGTAAGTATCATCCCGACTGTGATTGAACGAGTAGTTGCAGGGGTCCAGAGATGTGGTGAAGCGCGACCAGTCACGCGACTGAATCGCTCGACTCGCGGACTTTGAATGGTATGAGTGTAGCCCAAGGTTTTCAAGCTGTGGGTGGTATCTTAATAGCTGCATTTGAGGCTGTCCTAGAGTTTCCCTGCAATTAAACTCCTGGAGAATCAATCCTAACGGAGTTTCAATCACTGGTAACCGTGTGCGTCAAAAGTAATGAAGCAAAAACAGGCAGTAACAAACTAAGAACGTACCCGCTGGGACTCATCTTGGCGACAGTGGTTGCCACTGGATGCTCGGTATAGATGTCCACATTGGTGACGTCCTATAAGAAACGAAAAATTGGCAGCAAATGAAAACTGGACTGCAGAAACTGTTCATTCGCTAAGAGCGCGCTCATACCTCGCGATCTGATCGCCTGAATCGCGCGACCCAACACCTCGAGCGAATAAATCGCGCGATCGTATCGCAGAGTATGAACACACTCTCAAGATAAGGTATTGTTGGAAAAAGATTATACCTCAACATCGACGATGAAGACAGAGTTCCCATTACAGTAAATGATTTTATCACCTTTCGGGCTGGAACCAATCACCGTAGGGAAGCCTCGAACGGTACGTGGCAACGAGGCAAAGACGCGGACCTTTTTGAATTCATTAGATTCCTCCGCGTTCATTCTGAAGCACTTCAATCACTGATAAGAAGCTGTAGGTACAAATAAGAGACGAATACACCTAGAATACAAAGGAAAGTTGGTGCCGTGAGGTCAGGCGTTTTATTCATTAGATCGTCGCATTGCAATAAGCATAATTTTGCGCAAGGGAATTTTTGAAGATAAAAGCTTTTTCTGAGCAACTTTCACGTTTTTTTTCCTATTATCTGACCGCAACGAGGGCCGAAAACTGGGAAGAAACGAGTGCGAGCCGGCTGGAAGAGGGGTTTTGCTCAAACAGTGGAAGCGATCTCTTCACCCTCCTTAGAATTTCTTCTAAACCTAGGCTTTGGCAAAGAGCTTTTCCTGTCCGTTCAGGGCACATCATTGGTTGGGGAGGATTTTAGTGAGTGTGTAGTGTACAGACGTCCACCGCCACTTTTTTGCCGAGGTTGGACAACGTCCATGAAGCGAGAAAAATCAACTATCAAAATAAATTTTTCTCAGCCCAAATACGACCCCCCCCTCCTGGCGGCCAAATACGACCCCCCTATTGGGAGATTCCCCAACAACGATGTGCCCTGGGTCCGTTGCTCTAAGGGTCTGAATCAAAATGGACGCCTAACTACACCAGCATTCAAAAGAATTTTTGCTTTTTGACTTACTATGTCGTTAAATTATTTAGAACGATCTGACATCAAGATTTATCTCTTCTTTCAGGCACTACATGCACCAGTTGAGCACACTTCTAGGCACATTGGCTTCAAGGGGGGGGGCATTTTGCAACCTCGCCGCTTCCCATTGATCACAGCTTCACAAGAATTGGCAAGAATTCTTTACATGAGTTGAGAAGTGATCTCTACAAACTCTCACGGTATCACATCATGGCTTCACAGGATTTCACAGATCTCCACTCCATGGCTCAACATGACGAGAAGCTAGGGTGTAAAGTGGCATCCCCCCTGCCGAAGTGTGCTCACTTCTGAAGTCAAGTATGCGGTATTAAATCGTCATTTCACAGAGAACATGAGCTATTCCGATCGAATCGCGATTAAATCGTGATTTTCGGATGAGCACACCTTCAAAAGGACCTTTGTGCTTTTATCAAGCCTCACAGCGATAGAGTGAGTCACACGACACCAATGTGAGCAGCACATCACAAATCGGCAAAAATGATAAGAATGGGAGGAAATATCAAACGTTTCATTGAAAACAATTGTGGCAGCAGGCTTTATGGCTGTTTCACGAAGTCATATTACAACACTCTCCGCGCTGTTGTCGCAGTAAACACAGTTATACATAGAACATCGGACGCGAGACCTGACCCCCAGGTCGACACGCCACTATTAAAACAAGCGCTCCTTTCGGCGCGGGTCGCGTGCGATTCCTCTGTTTGTTGACGACAAGGGGGAAAGGGGAGTTATGAGTACCAAAAAATAGAAATGGTGAAAAGAACTAAGGCAAGTGAAAAAAGAGAAGGAAGAAAAAACACAGCAAGCAGAGAAACATCACAGCTTCTTTAAAAGCAGGCGTCGGATACGGTAGTGGGATGGAAGGGACGAGAAGCAGTTGCGTCCAACCCCTGAGCATTACTCACCCTTGCAGTCGCATGGAAAAATCGGAGAATCGGCGAAAGGGATTAAGTATGTGTCGATCGAGAGAGGCAGAAATCGACGATTCACTTATTTTCCTGTATTAAGGCATGACTTGCGAGCCCAATAGGGATTTTTGACTCGGTTTATTACGAAAAGCTATGTCGGCTGGTAAGGTTAGAAGCTTACCTTTGTCGAATTTGCGAAATTGTGCCGATGAAGAAGTGAAGGTTGACAGTCTTTGTTGGGAGCGATGTCACCATCAGAACCACACTCCGCGGCGTAGCCCATTGATAACAATTCTTTGCCCACTTCGCTTAAAAGGATATATTATTTTTAGTGATCGTGAATATCAACGAGTAATGCATTTGGGCCTACTGGTCCCGGCGCTAACAGTTGGGACCTGACCAGGTTTCCAAAGTAGGGCGATCACAGCTTTCTCGGTATCCGTTGTGACATGGGCGTGTGAGAGAGTGCGTTCATACTTTGCGTGAGAGCGCGTTCAGACTTCGCGATCGCGCGATCGCGAAGTCTGAACGCGCTCTTAGCGTTTTGAGCGCTGGATCGATACTCATACTTTTGCGGTCGCTTAAAACGCTGGACGATACCTATAATTCACTAATCGTTCAACGTCAGCGTACGTTGGCGTACCCAAATCGCTGGTGTGCGCTCAAAACTTTCAAAATAACGCAAAGTATGAACGCACTCTTGGTGCTTCTACCTTTCTCCTTGCAGTATCCAATAGATAAGAGCAGTTAAATAAAGCATTGGTATGCTATTAGAGTTGATTGGAGTACGCAGCTCTGTTAACTCTTTTACGACCGAAGACGACGATGTCCCACCCTATTGTCGTCTGCGCACTTCTGAGACTGAGCATGGGGAAGGGAATTGAGCATAAAGACACGTGGTCCCCCATTAGCGCCCACAGTGCTGATAGCTCAGACCAGAATGTTCAAGGTTTGTGTTCAGGAGGTGCATTCAACCATCTCCAAGTCTGGAAGCATCCCACCACAAGAGAGTCACATTCTAACCCTGCTGCAAGAAGTGAGACCGAAGAAATCGTGCTAGGAAGCTCGGGAACTGTGAGAAGGAAGGGATGGCCCATATTCAGTTTGCAGTGCTCAGATAACAAGTGTTACCATGTGAACCACGTTATGACATGTAGGAGAAATTGAACAGAGATGAGGTGGAAGGGGGGCCCGCGCCACGAAGGCGCCGATGATCGAGGCATTTCGGGCTAATGCCGTTTGGACTCCAGCAACTTCGGCACCGAGCTCATTTTTAAATTACCTAAGTCGCCAAACCCGCTGAAAATATGTACACAAGGGTTATTTACCATCCTGATTACAATTATGACACTCATTCTTGGCGCTGGCGCCAAGGGATGACACTACGATTACCTCTTGGGCTCAGCCTTAGCGGAGCGCAGGTAATCGTAGTGTCATCCATTAGCGCCAGCGGCAAGAGTGAATGTCATATTCGTAATCAGGATGTTAAACTACCCCTACATACAAGTTTTTAGCGGATTTGGTAACTTAGGCAATTTAAAAATGAGCTCGGTGCCGAAGTTGCTGGAGTCCAAACGGCATTAGCCCGTTTGTTGTGGCGCTGGCGGGTGGCGCGGGGGGGCCGGGCGTTTCAGCGACGCGGATGCTGATATTCGTGAACATTTTCAGATGCGGTTGGATGGTCGAAGAGTGAGGCGAGTTAACCCACACTTTCAGCGGAATCGGCCTCCGTGGAAAAGTCGAGATCCGGTCCCATTTTCGAAAATGGTAGAGAGTAGTAAGTATGTTTGAACGCTGCCTCCAAATTTCTATAAAATTCACTTCCCCCTTTTCAGACCCATTCTTCCTCCTGGTGCGACCCATCGTCTCCTAGCTGGGATTCTCCATGTACCCTCTCGTTGTCGCGTCATGTGGGCAGTCTTTTACGCCTGACACGAGAATGTAATTTATTTCTCTCGTGTGGTGGTGGGGGGGGGGGTGGGGCGGGCGAATGGATCGAAGCCCATTATCATGCAGTCTTTTTCCACTATTGTTGCGCTCCTCATGATGAATGCATTTGGCGGGAAAAAGGCTCCAACTCGCGGTTTCTCTCACCATTTAGTTGCCGGGATAATTAGTGTAACGACATACTACTCACAGTCCATATCTGAAAGTAGCAAAGGTGTGGCTGCGAGATGTGGAGCGCTACTTCGCGTCGCGACGAAATAACGTGACGTACTCAGGACTCGCGTTTTCGGCCCCTCCCCCCCTCCAAGGACTAGCGCTTTGCCTGTTTACTCAACCACCACTACCTATGAAATACTATGTTAGAGCGCGCGATGCTGCGACTATAAAGATTCCGGTGTCCCTTAATCTTTTCAGGCGGAAATGCTACAACTTCTGGGACTGCGGACAGTACTGGCTTGTACAGCAGGGAATTCTTCCTCTCAAATAATCGCGAAATGCGTTTTCAGTTGTAGGGTTCGAGTGTGCGTCTCCATTGACGAAAAAATTGTGGCGTAGGGTTACGGTGAACGTTCGTCGTACGCAACCGCACGCAGTCGGCAGCTGTTGGAAATCAAAGCGCGTTTTCCGCAGTTGTTTATCACTGGTCACATTAGAAACGTACTTTACCGATCGATGGGAGACGGACGGTTCGTCTGCACCCATCTGGTCACTGCCTACCATCAGCTGTCACTCCATTTATAACTATTCATCTGCTGTTATCTTCTCTTTGCTCTCTGTTAAGTCCAGTTACTCTGTTCCAGTGAATTGGCGAGACGGGAGCGGGGGGGGGGAGGGAAGGTGAATGGTCTAGCAATATCGACCATGTTTCCGTTTTTATCAGCTGTTGAAGTTTTCCCGCGATTTACGATCTCTTCCGGAGTTCCCTCCAAAAATTCCTCCACTCTCTCCAAAAAGGCCGTTCAACAACCAAAAACACACTTTCGCCCATACGAGCCCTCCCCTTTACTGGGAATCCCCAACATCCGACGTGCCCTGTTCAAAAAGGAACCTACGGAAGCTGGGGACGAAATCCCTCGGACTTAGTCTGCGCCGGGTAGCCGGCTTCTTCCCGTTTCAGGGCCTGTGAAGAATGGTAGTGCACCTTGAATTACGGAGACATTTTGTGGCAACTTTCTATCTTTCTTTAAGATGCGCCAAGTATACCACTTCCGTTCAGAATCGAAGTTGTGTTCCATTGTAATTCCCTCCCCCCCCCATAAAGTGACTTGTGGTTCAGCAGACGATACACTGTGACGGTTTTTCGTCCACCCAAAAGTTGCCATTCAGCCCGTACTGCTGATATAGAAGTATTGGCTGGACTAGGCGACTGGCCGCTGCACCGGGTTTCTGCGATTTTACTCAATCGATGATTGCCCTTCGTTACAACTCAACTAACAGCACTTGCTTCATATCATCACGCAGTCAATTGCCTGCTGCTTTTCTCTGTCGTTACCGATTAGTGCCGTCGTTTATGTATCTTCTTATAAGCTTTTGGGCCTTTCTTCACGTGCCAGCTTGTTCAGTCAAACCATCAGGAGGTGGTTAACTCACAAATATTATTCAGACGGCTGGTTGACCTTTCGTTTTGGACATGAATCGATAGATTATCTGTCATTGTGATGATGCGAATGAGTAAATGTATCTGATGCTGATCGATACCAGAGCTTTCACAGTTTACTGAACCCGCAATTGCGTATAGTTTGAACCTTACCGTTCATACCTTGCGACGCTAGATAATCGTTGAATCTTGAGAATCGGAAAATCCTCGAGGAGGAAAGTGTACGCGTCGATCTGAGGAATCGGCCAATTTTAATAAAGCCGCGTTCGTACTTCTCGATTGAGGAGATTTGGCGATGTGGGAGACTCGGCGTTTTTTAGGTTGCGCGACGAAGAAAGTATAGCTCGAGTGGCGACTGCGGAGACTGAGTGGTCCGGAATTTGAGAGGCTTGGTATTTCTCCCGATTGCCCGCCAAAGACTGGATGTGTATCTCTACTCCGCCCAGCTGGAGAGTCGGCGAAAGGGAGAATTGGAGAGTACAGTCCTCATCATTGCGGACCGGTGGGGCGTGGCAGTGCGGCTGCGTTTGGTGCGGTTTGGCAAAGTCGTTCTGCACCAGTTTTTGAAGCGGGCAAGTGCATTACTGTATTATATCCTTCGTATTACTCGTTTTCTACCACTTTTTGTCGCATACGCGTTGCAACAAAAAAGGCTGAGAACGGCTTCAACAGTGTGCGCACTCCTTCTGGCTGACACGCCCCACCGGTCCGCAATGATGAGGACTGTAGATAATAGTGGATCGGTACGCATATTTTCACGCGTCCTCTAATTCGTCAACCCTTCACATCCTTGATTCTCCGTATCGATGATGTATATTTTCCTTATCGTAAATTCTCTGATTTTCCGTTTCCGCGACTCCAATTCTCCAATGTTCATTTTCATCAGTGTCGGAAGGTTCAGACGCGACTCAGCTCATAGCTTTCATACAGTATTTGGGGAGCTCTGTGTAATTTCAGTGAAGGTTCATGATCTGGTCTATCAATTTGAGATCTTAGAGGGCGTACATTCTTCGTGATCCGATCGCTTGGATCGTGCCGTCGATCCAGGCGACCGGATCGTGAAGTATGAACGCTCTCTAGCTTTTAAAATAAGAGCTCGGACTGCTCAGTTTCATTTAAGGAACGTGTGTAGTGAATGATTGTTATTTTTCCAGTTCGTATTCATTCCGTGACATTCTTGACATGCATGTTTACTTTTAAGCAGTGAACACTAGCCTAGTAACGTTCATTTACTCATTTAGATGAACTCACTGCGGCTTCTCGGTCTATCTTGTCCCATTTACAATGCAGTAACCGCAAGGGTACGTTCCTATTAGTTCTGAAATGATCTAGCTATTATGGCGATGTTTGGAGATGTGCTGAGGATTTTCTCCCAATTATCTTCTTTTTCAGTCGCTCTGTTCACACCCTCTTGCGAACCTTTTGGGACGACTAAATCACGTCGCAATCGCCACACCAGATCTCCAAAAAGCTTCGCAATTTTACAAGAACCTTGGAGCGAAAGTTAGCGAACCAGTGGTAAGCTTTTCATGCTGAACTTTTTTTGAAGCTTCTCTTTATCTAGCTTTTGTATGTGTTACTCGCTGAGCTGCGATTGCTCGCCAATCAGAAGTCGTTTGTTAAACAACAACCAGGAAATTCTTTCAGCCACAACCAGAACATGGCGTCTACACTGTATTCGTTGAATTACCAAACTCGAAGCTCGAGCTTCTTCACCCTCACGGAGATAAGTCACCAATCCAGGTTAGCTTTGTTGATGAGTTCAAGCCACCCACCACCCAGAAATAGAGCTGTCGAAGGTGGCTGTCTTGGGATGCGTGCGGTTGTTGTGCAGCATTTGCTTTTATTGGCCCTGCAAGTTTGCGATTGTATCTCGACATTGGCTATTTGGTCCACTTTCAGCCACTGTTCTATTTCTTGCGCTTTTTTTGAGCAACAGCATTTCATATACGTAATTCACAAAAAGGTGCAGATGTAGCAAAGGTCCGCAGCCCAACAGGTTACGGGTTAACAAGTACTCCGATGTTGGCCAACAAAATCAAAAAAAATCAAATCAAGGTTATGCGAGTACGAGTTTCTGACTTTGTAATCCAGTGCTGGAGATCTGTCCCCTCCCAAGGGTTAGGAAGAAATCCGTTTTCCGTTGAATTGCAGACCCATGTTACACCAGCGCCTACTAATGGATTTGAACATGTACAACTCGGACCAGCCGCCTGCGATACTGCTCTTCCAGGGAGAGGGGGGGGGGGGGGTGGTGTTTTGAGTTGTCTTTCCAAATTCCTTACAATTGGATGTGTTGAAGGGCTTCCTGGACGAAAACAAGGCTGGCGGTATGCATCATATTTGCATTGAAGTGGCCAATATTGCGAAAGCGATGGAGACTGTGAAGGCGAAAGGAATTCGAACACTTGGCGACAAGCCAAAAATCGGCGCTCATGGAAAGGACGTGATCTTCCTTCATCCGAAGGACTGCGGAGGCGTACTGATCGAGCTAGAACAAGTGTAAAACAATTGTGCATAGTTTTTTCCCTAGGGTTTCGCCTTATTTTTCTCATTTCTTTCACAACCGGGATCACAGTGGTTCTTGGAGAGAAATGTAACCAGTGTGACACCCTTTATAGTCAGCTAATAGTATGTAAGTTTTTGACGCATTTGATAGATCTTTTACTCTAGCTGTGTGGCTTGTACCGTTCGCATTTTTCACGTGTAGTGCTTGCCCTTCACTAGGTTTAACACAGTGATATGAAATTTATAGTACTTCAAACGAGTCAATTATATGGTGCCTTCCCCGAATTATTATTGATTAGTGTCATGGTGCCGTGCTGGTGTAATGAACCCGGTCAATGAATGTTTTACCGAAGTACCAGTTATTTTACACAGCGGAGGAATACGCGACATGGGAGTCGTATGTGACGTGCCGTTGAGCAGAGGGGTCGTATGTGCAGGTGTAAATAATGTTCAGGGCGATTTCAACCTCAGCACTGCCTTCGGTCTTGTCCCCCGCCGTGGAGTGTTATGTTTGTGGGTTGGGAATTCATGACAAGCTTAATTCAGTGTGAGTGAAACTATAGCATAGGAACGAGTTACGTCTATCTGAATGTAGCAAGGAACCCATGAGCTGGCATCAGAGCTACATTGACCTTATTAGGCCCACATTCCGTAGATTTTACACTTATGTCGTTAGGGTTCTGTATTCTTAATGGTTTTTCGAATATTCATTGAGCTAAATAGATCACTATAGGTAATATGAACAAGACGCATAAGCAAAGCCGTGGAAAAAAAGCGCGACGTTTGAGGGGAGGGCAGCGTGCAGACTTCGCTACGACGCGCTGTAACGCACGTCGACGCGCTACAATTGCAACAGCGCTCCAGTCCTATAGACACGAACGCAGCCGCTGACGGGAATCGACCGGCGCGCCCTGGTGGCCACTGCTAATTGGTACCAGAAATGTTTGAGCAACGTTATACTATTCCAGTACGTAAGCGGGCGACGATCGGTTCCCTTCTGCGACTGCATTTGCCGCTATAGCTTTAGAGCGCTGTTGCAGTTGCAGTCGACGCGCGTCGTCGCCAAGTCTGAACACTACCCAAGATACGCTCCAGAAGCGAATGCGCCTCATACCCCGAAAGACAGGGTTATAGCTTTGTCTCGTCCCGTTTATGTTAAGACCTCTACAGCTTTAATCAATAAGATCAACCAGACAATGGCCATTCGGTTAGCGTTTCTGTAGATAACTTCGGCTTTCATATGCAAATGCCATCGTTTACTTATCGTGCTCGTGTCCATCACTGCGTTCTGGTTCGAAAGAGTCCGTTCTGCCTTAAAAAGATGCTCCTAATGAATAAGAAGCAGAAGTCAATTTCAAGCCAAGCTTGCCTATATAGCTCCGCCTCCATCGTACTTTGGCCTATCTTGACTCTCTGGTTGCAATAGGCAAGACCACAGCAAAGTTTGTGGAATCTAGAGTCCTGCACAGTTAGTTAATTCCCTTGACCTCTTACACTGGACTAGGTTGTTCGGGGCTGAAACTTCGAATTAAGTTTTTTCAAAAAGTCATTGGTTCTGTGTTTGTGCTCAACTGACCTCAACCAGTTTATTTACTCCTTTTCGCGTTGTGATTTGCCATCTGCAGTTTGGCACGCGATTTGGGAAACACCGAACGAAAAGGTTCGTAAAAGCATGATGCATCGTCGGTGTGTATTTGCTTGGGGTCAAATCCTGGGACCACTTTCCTGATTTCACGAAAGAATTCTTCGACATCAAGAGAAGTCATGGATTCACACAGCAGGAAGGCTTAAACATTATGTGTTCTATCACGCATTATCAGAAACTGGTAAGAAAAACAACCTGCTGGAATATCCTCGTCTTGTTCATTTGAAACCATCACCGTCACCCTTTTGAGGATGGAACTCTGAGCGCTTCTGATAGAAATTCCTTTATGTGAAAACTTCTGTAAGCACTCCACTTGCTCGGGTGTGATAATAACTGAAAAATAAGAATTTTCGTCGTAAACTCATTATGTGGCAAATATTCCTCACTTAAGCGAAACCGTTCTCCTGATGGATTCCCAGGCATCTCTAGTAGGCGGATACCATCATCCGTGTTATTCTCTCATCCGTTCCTTCGTTCACGGGCGGCATATCGTCACTACTGCAGTACACAGGTTTCAATCCAAAACGATACGATATGGACCAAAGGTCTCCCTTGGTAACAAAATGTAGCCTTGATGTTTCAGCGGGATAGTCTCTCCTAAGACGCTTTATGATTTCGTCATGGGAAAACTCTGAAAAAGTGTGTAAAGACTATTATTTGATTAGCTTTACGTCACACACCTTCTAATAATTCCTTGAGAAAAAGCTGCTGAGTTCTTGTTAAACGTAGAAGAGCAGAGTCGACTTTATGGCCAATATGACCCAAGCAGCCCTTTACATTCACTGAGCCGTCATCCTCGAATTTCACATTCAGAAAACAAGAGCAATGCAACACATCTCGCTTTGTATGCGTGGCTCGGGTTTGCGTCTTCTTTGAATATTTCCCTGCTCTGTTACATCTGTAAAATAAATGAAAGGAAGTTTACAGTGTAATATTGACCACGTTTGGCATACCTCAAACTTATGCTGGATTTTGAACTGTCTCGTGTGTAGAATGTTGTTCCACTATGCTGCTGATGTTCCTCTAACCATGCCTACAAGATCCTATTTCCAAAAGATGTAATCTTGTTGAAAATCGCATCAATGAGTCAAAAAGTCAAGAAATCGCATCAGTCAATAAGACTGTGACAGAACTTACCTCAAACTCTTCCTTGTTTGCCAAACTGAGCATGAAAACGCTATAATCCTGCGGCTCTCCACCTGCTCCCTCTTCTGCGTGCTTTTCTTCGCAATGCTTCGCAAGGCGCTCGTGGTTTTCGAGGCGTTCTTCGCACAACGGGCAGAAAACATAGTCTTTTTGAGCAGGTGCTTTACGGTTTATTTCATCCCTTTACTTTCTGTACTTCTTCGCTGGTATAAAAGTGTACATTGCGAAGATGAGCATAGAGATTTCTTCGGAGAATCATTTTCTTGCACTGTGGACATGCCCATGAAGATCTTGACAACGTCATCTGACAAAGTAATTTTAGTTTTCGATAAATTAGTTTTACGATTCTTGGAATGATTCATGACGAAAACGAAACAACTGAGACAAGAGTAGAAGCGAAAGAGAAAGAAATCGGGATATGTGGAACACAAGATCAGTTCCAAAATGCATGGAAGAATCGCGGTGCTGTTATTTTACACAGATCGACTGCGGCATCATGCCAACGCGGCCACGCACATCTTGCCATAGCCTTTCGCCGCACCCCACTTTCGATCGATAGCTCCGAGGGTATGCACGCCCACAAAGGGATTGATCAACGGCGAAGACTAATCCTTTTTTTTATCTAGAGAGGCTGCTCCATCTGAGCTGTTTTTCAACAGCGTGATCTGGCTCATACCGCAAGACTTACTTTCATCTCTATAGTAATTTCAACAATTCGACAGGACAAAACCGAAAAAAAAACGATCGGCGCCAGCGATGTCGTCTTCTATCGCTCTTATTGCATGACCAAATCGTGCGTGCAATCAAAGCAATTAGACTGCGAAGTATGTCCACTGTAATGGTAAAACATTCAGCTGAGTCCCCAGCAAATGTACGAGCACTCCAAAAAACGAGGTACTGACTGCGCAAGCGAAAGACATTTGACAGGAATATGGTCGTCCGCACTCACCATCGAGCTGTATAAGTGGAAAACCGCTGAGATCGCGAACCGGGTCACTTGTACAAGTGAAGAGATCTATTTGATTGACTGACCTCAAACTTTTAAAACGTATCAGTAGGCTACGTTCCTACTTCGCGACGACGCGACCTACGCGCTACTGTTGCAATCACGCTCCGGACCTGCCCAAGTAGAACTTTTCTTTACGTATTTCCCTTTCTTATTTGAAAATAAATTCCTCAGAGCATAAATTCGTGTCCCACGCGTACATTTAATGTGGAAGAGCAGGTGTGAAATCAAGGACGATGAAAAAAGTTGCGAAAAATTGAGATATTTCTACCTTCCGTGGAAAAAAGGCACAGTCGCTTGTGTTGGTAGGTCAATCCCCTGTGAAGATGTTGTACTTAGCAAAAGAGCAAAAAAATGAGAACAGTGTACAAACTAAAATTCGCAGCGTTGAAGACGTCAAGGCGTGAAAGTTGGCGCGGTGTTCGCACTAGTGGCTAGTGTAATCTAATTCACAATTCACTAGCTGAACCTCGTGAGCTTCTGTGGATTTCGTTTGAAAAATCGTGAGTTCGGTTAGAGTGGAATCAACTTGAAAACGTTGTATAGCTTTGATAACCTTGAGACTGAGGTACTCTGAAATGAAAAAGAGAGGTCTATGAACAGGGGCAAAATAAAGGGAAATATGTGAAGAAAGCATGGAGTTGTGTAGCAGCGTGTCGATGCACGTCACGCTGCTACACAACTCCATGTTTAAGGCCGCGTTCATACATGATGCAGAAATGCCGAACCACGGAATGTGCAGAACTGCGGAATTTTTGGCAGACTGTGTGGATCTGCGCTAATGCCGTTTGGACTCCAGCAATTTCGGCCACCGAGCTCATTTTTAAATTGCCTATGTCACCAAACCCGAGGAAAAGATGTACAAAAGGGTTATTTAACATCGTGATTACAATTATGGCACTCATTCTTGGCGCTGGCGCCAAGAGAGATGACTAGATTACGCTCTCTGAGGCTCAGCCTTAAGCGAAGGCGCAGGAGTAATCGTGAGTCGTCATCCATTTAGCCACCAGCGGACGAGGTGAATGTCACAGCATTCGTACACTCAGGCATGTATAATACTACCGCCTAAATAGCAAGTTTGTTAGCGGGATTTGTGATTAGGCCAAATTTAAAAATGAGCTGCGGTGGCCAAATTGCTGGAGTCCAAACGGCATTAGCCGGAATCTGCAGAACCGCGGAACTTGCAGAAAAAGAAAAAATATGTCTATCGATTTCAAAAACCGTGGAATATGCAGAAGTGCGGAATTTGCCGTCGTGCGGAATCTGCAGAATCTGCAGATTCTGCACGACGGCAAATTCCGCACGACGGCAGGGAAGAACCAATCGATCCCTATCAATTCTTTGTCCGTCATTTCTGCATGTCGGCAAATTCCGCGGCATCCTATCTCCTACCGGTGCGCGCGCAAGGCGTGTCGACCGCGGCGCTCCTGGCATTTTGTCCTTCTTTATGGGTGTATGCCGTTTGGCGCGATTCTTTTGTCGTCTACGCGAAAGAACATGCCGGCTGTCAGCGGCAACTGACTTGCTAGGGGAAATAACACGCGCATGACCTTCCGAACTAGAGTATATCCCCAAGTGATACTAGAGGATACAACTTACTGGTGTTGAATAAGGAAGGCACTATCACCAAAATAGGAGGAGCTTTTTATAGGCCCACAAATTACGAAAAAACCTTAATAGGATCAGTGATTCAAAAGAAGAGTTTGACTAGCGCCCTGTACCTGTCAGAACTACGGTAGAACGCAATGAAATCGCGCCAACTACCGCCTACCCTTCTTTGGTGATTCAGCCTTCAGGTAGCGATAGAGCGCTGAATTCGTCTGAAGCGGGAACTTAAGATAAGATCAAGTTGTTGTTTCGAAGTTGAGCATGCCCTTCGCCTCGAAGTGCGCTTCCGAATGAGAGAACTGAATTGAAGAGAGCAGTTAGCACAGTTTCAGGAGAACCACTACACAACTGCGAAGCGCGATTGAATGAGAAGGAAGAAAAGCATTTGCAAAGCGTCACCGTAATAGGTAACACATGGAAATTGCACTGCATGACGCTCTTCCTGCATAGGAAGAGCGTCATGCAGTGACACGAGGACGTATCTGCATATATGGGTACTATTCAACTATTATTACCTAAGAACTCGAAAAAAAGGACTGCTGAAATTTTGCCTATACGGATTACTCGATGCCCTGACCAGAAGTATGCCATTCGCTTTCAATGCGCGCATTTAAGCGCCAGTAGACGCCGACTTAATACCAACAATTTCCTTACCATTAGCGATGTAAACTTGCTTACCGGGGTAATTGGTGCCCTGATCAGAAATATGACATTCACTTTTAGCTCTGACGCTATTTGCCGTAACACCCTTTTTACTAAAACTGAATAAAATCCGCGTAATGGGGTTTACGTTGTCACGAAAATGGCATTCACTTTCCGATTCAGCGCTCTGCTAAGGCTGAGCCTGGGAGAAGGATTATCTTTGGGCCAGGCCCAGCCTCAGCGGAGCGTAGACGACCGTAGAATGTTGTATTAGTGCCTGCACCAGGAATGAATGTCTTGTTCATGATCAAGATCTCAAATAGCCTGCAATTTGTTTTCATTTATTTATTTTTTTTAAGTTTTAATCGATTTTTGTGATCCAGAGCGTTTTTGCGACGGCGCCTGTGGTGCGGGCACCAGTTTTTCGGGCCAATTAGAAACAAATAGAAACAAATATTGGGGAAAGGGAATACAGCTCCATAAACAGCAGATGAATGCCGTTCCGCCCATATCGGCACAATCCTTCTATTCTATAAAGCAGTAACTTTGTGTGTCGGTTTGTATGTTTGTAGGTATGTATGTCTGTCCGTCCGCAAAATGCTTCACGGGTTCGAGTTCGCTGGAGGCGAAAACGACCGCTAGGCAAACAGGCAAATCGGTGCGGAAGTATCAATCCAATGTTTTGATCGTGATATCGGCCTCCGCTATATAAGACAACCATTCGGTACACTCCGAGCCATTGCACGAGCTGCTGGCGTGGCAGCTGGACGTGTGCTCGTGCGGGGGCAGGGTGGGGTGGGGCCGAGAGGGGGGGGCACTGGGCGCCCCCCCCCCGCCCCTCTGCTTCCTTC